TGCATGTATGTATGTGTGTGTGTGGGTTTTGTTTTTCTCTCTTTTAACTCACACGAAAAAAAAAATGCATCGTGTATGTATATAAATATGAGCGATCAAGTCAAACTAGGATTTTGTATGAGCAAAGAAGCATCGTCAACATTCGATGATAGATGATGATGATGATGATTAAAAGTTGGTGGTGCATAACCAAATATTTGTGGAAATGATGTTGATGAGGACGGTGATGTATACGTTCGCTGAGAAGGAAAGTAGCTGTTCGTTGAATGATTTGTTGTTTGATATTGTGTTGGTGGATTAAGATCAAATGGTGCTAAATTTGGATCTATAGTTGCAAAATGACGACTTATATTTGTTTGATCATCAAGATATGTTGCAGTACTTGGTGGATTCACATTAGAATAATTTGTTAAATAAGATGATGCTGATGGAATAGCAATTGGATTAGGATTTGTTATTTGTGTTATAGATGATGTTGTTGTTGATGTTGGTTGTTGGACTGGAGGAGCTAAACCTGGAAATGGTCGTTGAATTCCAGACATAAATATTTGTTGTTGTTGAGGTGTGGAATCATTTGGTTGCCACAGATTTGGTGGTGGATACTGCTGATTTGCACGTGATGGTTGATTGGCTGATGGAACTGTTTCGATGATATGACGATACGAATCTTGTCGATAACGAAGAGCTAAAAGAAAAGAATATAAATAAAATTAGATAAATGTTTACAAATTGTTTTTTTCTTAATACCAGAAAACTAAACATGATATGATGATGAGTACTTAATGGAGGCTATTTACGTACTTACCTTGCCTCAGTTTCAAAAAAAAAAGACAGATTAATTTTAGGATAAGCATTATCAACTCATTAAGGATTATCCATAGAGGATGTCCGTACAAAAATCAAATGTATTTACTATTTCTAAGTTCCTACGACAATTTCGTATAAAATAATCTATAGTATATTCCTAGAAATTATAAATATTCTATACAAATCAAGCTTTCTATATGTAAAGATCAATTTCATCAACAATTTAACAGAAATAATATTTGTGACTATAAGACAATAAGTAGACTTTTTTCTCGTACTTATTAGACACTTGAAATTATGAATTCTTGGTTTTATATATGCTTATAACAAAAAAAGACCCAAATCTCTTGAGTGTGTACTAAATAAATAGTTTCGAGATAATAATAAAAAATATTAAACCCAACATATTGATTCAAACACGATCTATAATGTTTTTAATGATAGAAAAAGGATAGTTTAGGTATAATAAATAGAAAATACATTTTGAATGCAGTTATTCTTTAATACAATTTTTAAAATATTACTACAGCTACTACTACTACTACTAATAATAATCTATCTACTTGGAAATTAATCAAGAAAAATCAGATTGACCATTCCTGTCTTTTACAACGCTTAGTTTTAAAAATATTTATTACAAAAAGTTTTTTCCTTTCAATCATCTCGTCTTGTTTTTTGATTAGTCATTGTAGTCAGTCAAAGTCTTCTTATTGATTTCCGTTGTAATATGATTTCTCAAGCACTTAATCTTCTTTTCTTATTTTGACATCCTTTCTAAATAGTACCGTCGCTAGCAAATACTGAACAATTTTTATTTTTGTTTCACTTGATTGTAAACAAAATGATAGATATATTCATGTTATAGAAAAGCAACGTGCATATATTTTCTTCATTTTTCTTTTTCTTTTATTTCAAAAAACTAGAAGACAAAAAGAAGTACTACATTTGATTTATGCCCATTTATATAAATAATTATTATTATTAATATTCATCGTTTTTGGAGCTTCAGGTATTACTTGATATGTATAAATACGATCTATAAACAAAATATATATGTTTATATTTATATATTCTTTAAACTCATAAACTCATTTATCTAACGGATATTTAATTAAGATAATTTTCATTTATTTAACTTACTCGGATCGAGATTAGGTGAACCATTTGAATTGAGATTCGCTGTTGGATTTATATTTGCATTAAGTGAATTATTTTGTTGTAATAAACTATTGACATTATTTGTACCATTATTATTTGTATTTGTTAATAAAATATTTCCAGTTGTTGATGATGATGATGATGGATGATTTAAACTTGCTGATTCTTCATATGTTCGTTTAAAAAAACTTGCTTGTAATGCATTAAATGGTAATATACGTCGTTTTGGATCATATTCAAGCATTTGTTGAACAAGTTCTTTAAATTTGATATAATCTGATACGGAATGATTAGGTTCGCCAACACGACGACCACCTGGACCACCAACATCAACACCAAGTATATCATGTAGTTTACGTGTACCTGGTGTTCGATACTATTTAAATATATATATATACATAAAATAATTGTTTTATAAATATTCTTATTTTTATTTACCCTTCTTTCTTTACTCTTTCGTGGTGTCCATGTATTATCCGGTAAGCGATCAAAAAATCGTTTTGTTTTTGTTCCTTGTTCAAGTATATGAGTAGGTGGCATACCAAGTACTTCAACAATTTTCATCATTTGATCGAACTAAATTTAAGAAAAAAACAACAATAAATCGATCTAATAATAAATTTTGTTTTTGTCATAGAACTTACTTCATTTGTACCACTAAATAATGGTTCACCTGTATGCATTTCAACAAGAATACAACCAAGACTCCACATATCAATAGCCATATCATATGGAATACCAAGTAATACTTCTGGTGAACGATAAAATCGACTTTGAATATATTGATAAAGCTAGAAATAAATTTTTTTTTGTCTTCTACGAATCAAATTCAAATAAATCACACATACACGTTGACCAATTTGACATGAACTACCAAAATCAACAATTTTAATTGCTGATCGTTTTGGATTAACCAAAAGTATATTTTCAGGTTTCAGATCTAATTAACAAAAAAAAGAAAAGTCATAGGTTCGTTTTTTTCTTCTTCTTTCGTGTCTTCTTATTTTTAAATTACATACCACAATGAAGGACATTTAATTCAGGTTGAGATAGGAATAGTAATGCTGATAATAATTGTAACGCAAATTTACGTGTTAAATTAAGTGATACACCACGAAAATTTGTATTACGTAATAAATCATATAAATTATATGATAATAATTCAAATACAAGACACAAATGATTACGAAATGTAAAATTTCGTCTTAATTTAACTAGAAAATCAAATTAATGAATGAATGAAACTGAATAAAATCAAAATTTAATCTATACCTATATAACCATTATTATCGATATCATGTTGATTCATTAATTCTAAAAGACGTACTTCAATTTGGGCTTGTGAAAGAAATGGTCGTTTATTTTTGATTATTTTTATAGCAACGTATTCACCATCAATATGATCGAATGCCTTAACAACCTAGAAAAAAAACGAAGTTTTTTTTTAATTTGTAATTTTATATATATAATGCTTTTTTTTGTTATATTTACCTGACCGAAACTGCCTTTTCCAATAAGACAATCAACAGTGTATCGTTCAAGCCATACTTCACCAGGTCGTACAATATAATCATGATTTTCATCATCAAATCCATCATTTAAATTTCGTTTTTCTTTTTTATGTAAACCATTATTATCTTCAATTACTTGATTATTACTACGTTTCTTCTTTTTTGCATAATAAACCTAAGAATAAAAGAAAAAGAAAAAAAGCATTTTAGTAAAAACCATAAGAAATAAAATAAAAAAAAGTTTATTTCATTAATACTTCATAATTCGATTGTAATTCAGGTGATATACGACCTGTTGATGATGGTAAAATATCATAAAGATAACTAGTTGAACTACCATATGCTGAACTTCCATCAGTATGACTACTTGCATCTGATGAAAGATGATGATTACGATTAGTACCGTTCGATAAATATTGTTCATAACTGAATGGTGTTACCCATTCAGTATAAGGTATTTGCATGTATTGCATTGTATTCGTTTTTGTTTAACTCTTACGTAAACGTTAATCACGCATAAAAAAAGAGAAAAGGAAAATCTTCACTACAAATATCGTTAGAACAGATAGACCATATCGGGCGATAATCAATCATAAACAATAAGCCTCGACCATCGAGGTTGATAATAACGACTTAAAGGATATTGTTATTGTTTAGCGATATACTAAAACGAATAAGATTTGAAGAATAAAATATAATTAACAGCTGTTGTTCCCTTTTTGTAGATTAATACACTTCAATGACGCTCACGGTCATTGAATTGCATCATATTCGCACAATCGTATCTTTCCTTAATGTATATAGAGATGACCCGAAAGAGGACGCATTCGACCATCACAATCAAACATTCGCATTTATATATACCGCAAAAGAGAGAGAGAGAGGGGGAGAGAGTGATAGAGAAAGAAAAAAGCGTACGTAAAAAGATATTATCATTGTAGCCATCTTTGTTTTGTGTGCTCTCATTTTTTGTGCATCATGAATATGTACACTTGTACATCATGATCATCACCATGCAGAACGAAGAAAAAAAAAGGGTGGAAGAGAATATACATACATATACATATATATATGTAGAATACTGAATGATATTTATATAACATATAATTTATATATATACGGTTGAATAAGAAAAGAAAAAAAGATTTTACCTCATTGATATGTTTGTATGTTTTAATGAGATCAACACTCAATTTACGAAGAGGTGCTTCGACTGGATCGCGATAAGCGGTCATTGCTGGCATCATCATAACGATAATATTCCATAATTATAACACTTCATTTTCATATAACACAATAGATCCTATTGAGAGAAAAAAAGAAAGAAAACAACAAAACATAAGTATTTATTTTTATTTTTTTGAATATAAAAAAATAATTTGTTTTATACTAAACATACATAGATGTTAATCGTTTTGTATTGCTTGTTAAATACAATAATTGAATGAAATACTTGTAAGTAAAAACAAATAGAAGTTTAGAATAATATTAAGAAATTTTGTGTTGAGAATAATGAATAAAATCGATCAATAAACCGCACAGATAAAAATAAACGATGTCAATTTTAATATGGGTATATTTATATATATATAGATATAGATGACAATATGTATTATAAGTGCAGATGATAGGATCGATCGTGTGACGATCTAAAATAAAATGAATATTTATATAAATATATATCATATGTTTTCAATTGCAAATGTTTGACTCATTCATTATCGTTTATGCCTGATTCATGAGATCTTGAGACGAAAGAGAGAAAAAAAACACAAAAGGAAGGAAAGAAATGGTGGTAACAGCAACAAACAAAGAACTTCAATTTGACTGGATCATGCATTCACCTAATGATCGCCATTCAACCGGAGCATTTTATAGCCTCATTGATGGTATAGATCAAAAGTTGAAAAAATATTTAATCGTTTTTTTCATTGATATTATATAAACTTATACAAGGTTCATATCTATTATCAATCATACATTAAAAATAATGTTATTAAAAATTTACTTTTATTTTATCAATATAAAAATATCAGTTAATTAGTGACATCTTCAGGATTGATTGATATAATAGATAATATAGAGTATATGTATATTGTACTTACTAGTACTTTAACGGCATACTATCATATTCAATTACATTATAGTTTTAAATAAACATTACATTTTTTTCAGTAGAAATTATATTTTAATGTCGTATTAGTTGAAAATAATAATCTATTCGGTTTATAAGAGAATGCATGGAACTAACTATGCCATTATTTCTCTTGCTCTCTCTCGTTCTCTTATCATTATTGCTATTGAAATGGAAAGAATGAAAAAATTGTTTATGAAAATATTCGAGATAATCAAAAAATCAAATGATTATAAATTTAAACTCCTCATATTTAAATCTCTTCAATTGTTTCACCTTATTTTTGTTTTTCAACAAGATTTTGAAGTCACGTAAGAAAAATAGATGATTTTAAATAAACATAAAACTAAAATATTTAATACATATTTACATCACTATTTCATATAAAGAAGGTTTCGATAATTTTGTTTATCTCATCGAAATATTTTCACGTAAAATAATGTTTATTTGTATCATTGGAATGATATTTTCAAAACTGGAAAATATTCAAATATCAAAGTAGTTATCTATATTATTTCGACGAATAAAATAAAAAGACGCAATTGATAATTAACCATGGATGATTTATAATAAACAACAAAAAAAAGTTAATATATAAATAAATAAATATGATATATAGTCTTCAATGAAGAAAAAAACAAAAAATGGGAGTATATTTATACAAGGGAAAATACTATTTTTAAACAAATAAAAGTTTTAATAATAATTAATGATCTGTTATATTTTGATCTAGTAATGAAATTGCAGTACTTGATGATGTTGAATTCATAGTAGAAGTCGGTTTTATTATTTGATTCTTCGATGAAATCTATTTAAAAAGAATTATGTAAGCAAGATAGTACAATTGTCAAGAGAGTCATAGTTAATATTCTTAGCAGATAGTGACAAGTATCTCAAATATCGAATAATGACATTGGAAAATGTGACCTACATAAAATGTTTTTAGTATTGTCATGAAAGATCGGAAATATCTCTATTAGTACTTCTTTATAAAAAAAAAGTCTAGAAGGCGGTTTGATGAAAGTCTATTGCAGTTTAATTTATTATTTAAAGAAGATTTTTGCTAAGGATTATGGAATAAGCAAATAATTTGGAATGAATGATGATAGTATTTAGATTTATAAATTATTCTTACTCGAGGAATTTTTCCACCACCAAATAAATTCGCATAAACAATTGATTGTGGACCAATTAGTTTTTTCTTAACTTCTTGGACAACTGGATTCAATAAAGCTAATGGTGTTGTGGTTGTTGTTGTTGTTGTTGCGGCTGTTGTTGTTGAAATAATCGGTTTTGCATTTTTATTTGCTTCTTGTACCTTTTTTCTTGTAGCTACTAACGGACAAATACGTGTACATGATATGTCAATAATATTTCCATCTAATTTATCAAGTTTTTCTTTATAGTTTATAAAACGACCTTGTGGCCATTGTTTCGCTGAATGTTTAAATTTAATTTTATATAAATCACATGATAATGGATTTGTTGAATGATCCATAAAACTTTCAGCTAGATCATAATTAATCGCTCGTTTTGGTAATAATTTTGATGGATGTCCATGTCCATGACGTAAACGTCCACCCACACCACCACCACCACCACGTCGTGCTCGTTGGAGACCTGGTCGAGACTAAAAAAAAAACATTTAATTATCAACACAAAAATCGAATGAAATAAAGAAAGTACTGGTTGTGAAAAATTTGTTTGATTATCAGATGAAACTGTAAAATTTTGCATAGATTCACGAAGGACTTCATCATTTAATACCCGCGAATTATTATCATATGAATGATGATTAGATGAAGATAAATGTAAATTAGAATTTTTATCATGTTGTAATCTTTTTAGATGATGTGGAATATGATGATTAGACATATCTAATAAATATAGAAATTCGATATAGAAATGAAATTAGAAATTCATGGAAATTATTCCGTGTTCATTTGTAAGAGGAAAAACAAAAAAAATTTATTTGTTTAATTTTACTGACAATTAAACGAACTAAAATTCATTCTACATATACAAATATACTTTTGTCATCCATAGACATCTGGAGGAAAACTATTCATGCACACTATACAAAGAACGAAATTGATTTATTTAATGTATGAATACGAATATATTTACTGATGAATACTGAAAATTCTTACAAGTGTTGGATTTATTTATTTATAATTTTGAAATTCTTTCCATACAAATGAAAATTCTCACTTTGTTATGATTAGTTTTAAACGAATATTTGTTTATTGATATAAACATAAATTAATCTATCAAAATCTACGATCTTTGCACCGAACAGATATGTACAATAGGTTAATTTGTTTCTTTATTGAAGAAAATATTGATAGTTGTTATCTATTAGTTTTAGTAATATATTTATCTATTTTGCATACGATAATAAATAAATCAACAAGAAAGAAAATAGATGTTAACTATTATCTTCTATTTTCTTTATCGGAAATACATCTTATACATATATGTATATGTATAATAGAAAAAAGAACATTCGTACTAAAACTTGTTGGATAAATCAAGATGATCAAGATCATATTTAGTATTGTTTTTACTTATTTATTATTATTAAAATTGATTATAACAATCAATATAGGTATGATTGATTTTTATTAGATTATTTGTATGAAAATTGTTTTTTATGTATTGATATACAGATCTTGAAATGAATCAACAAGAAGAGATTAAATCTCTTCGAAGTAAACATATTTTTGCTAATCAACGTGAATATATTGCGATACTTAACAGACGGCGACATTTAGCTCGAATGAAATTTGAAGAATATTGTAAACCTAATGATAAAATACTGGAACGAATTTGTCCACCACTTGAACAATGTTTAGTAACATCATTAAATCAAGATCAAAGTAAATTGAATTGATATAAATTATTAAGAGAACAATAATGTTTTTTTAAAATTTAGTTAAACAATATTCATTAAGAAAATTACTCGAACGAAAAGAGGATGCTAATCAATTTCTTCATAATTTTAATAGAAGAAAACGTTTTACTTTATCATCTTTTCTAAATTCTGATGATAGTTTCAAAGAAAAATATATACATGAACGTCGTCGAGAAGGATTAGTTTTATATGAAGATTATTGTGAATCAACTCATCAATTACCACGATCTTGTCCACCAATCGATCGATGTAAATGTGGTGATTGTGATACATAGTGTATTCATTTTTCAATCTGTCTATATTATTTAAATATAGTTTCTAAATAGTTTTCTATTTTCTCAAATAATAAAAGATTTTAATAAATCTGAATGCTAACATATTCAAAATGTAAAAATCTTACTTATTCAATTCAAGTAGTTTTACTCTATATCGATTGCTCTTAATTCATGTCTCAATTTTTCAGTTGAAAGGACATGTTTTGACCTGAAGCCTTGGTGGTAGCGAAGTCTAATAATATTCAGAATACACTTTCAACAAAAACATTTGTATCACATAGTCAGGAAGTAACGAAATCTTTTCTTTCCATAGACCCATATTTGATCCACATCTTCTACATAACAATACTCAGAGGAAGAGTATGTTAACAGCTTTTGTCTAAAAGAATTTGTTCGAAAACATACGAATATCTCTCATATAATTAAATAGTACTGTCACATAAGCATGCCATTATCTAAGAGAAATCAATATCTTTTCCCATCATGTTTTATATAAGAAAACTAATTCGAAAGAATAAATAGACGATGAGCCCGCTGTTGACTTACCTTTAGTCAATCCTGCATTCAATATAAGAAGTTTTTGAATACGAAAGAATCATTCTAACCATATGGATTTTTTTCAATAGAATTAGAATAATGAATATTGTCTTATACTTCATATATTTTTTACCTACAACTAACTACTTTGTTTTTGTTTACATCACAGATTAATAATTAATAGAAAATAAAAATTTTCAACAAATGATCTTATTCTACTTACTAACATTTCTTTTCAAAATTCATACAAAAAAAAACACAGTTGTTGTTTATCATAGAATCAAAAGACAATATTTACGACAAGAAAATTTTCAGGAATATACACACTATACAAACAAGCAAAAAAATCATACCTGTTGTTATCTGTTAATTTAAAATATACATAGAAGAGAAAAACTATAAGAACAAACTAACAAAAAAAAAGCAAAAAAATGAAAATGTTTAACTATGAAAAGTAATGCAGCACCAAAAAAGAAAAGAGAGATGTGAGATAACAATAACACACAAACACTGAGAAAAGAACCCTTGATGCTTTATGCATATGTCTGAGCATAAATGGCGTATTTTAAAATAGAAAAAAAAAGGAATACATTGAAAATATCAATAAACAGGTAAATAAGTTAATTAAGGTTATCATATGTGGAAGAATCCAAAAGAGTTTCAGGTAATTTTCCTAAGGAATTTAAAGCATCACGTGTTGCATAATAAAGAATATTCTTAGCCTAGAAAAAGAAATTGAATTAGTATTTTTAAAAATCAAGATTTATACTTGTAAAATATCAGCATGATTTGTATGAGTTTTTGATAATGATCGAAATTCATTTGTTGTTATTAAACATCGATCAAGATTTTCCGGTGAAACAAAATCTTCAGCAATTTTTATACATGAATGAAGATTCCTTACCTATATTTATAGAACATTTCAAATTTAGAATAACAAGGAAAATATTTTTATATTAATTACTTGATGAGGTGCACCACTTGGTATAAAAACAGCATCACCAAGAAATTGAAGGATTGGATATGCTTCGACTTGATTCCAACATTTTAAATTTTCTAAATCTTCTTTTTCTAAATAAGCTGTTTGATCATGTATCTCATCGGAACCAGAAGTTTTACGTTGAGTCTAATGAGAAGAAAATTTTATATTAAATTTAAAAGATTGGTAAAAAAAACATACTCGGCCAATATATTCACGAATTGTTTTTACATCGTCCGAACGAAATAAATGCCAAAGTGCACCAGGTCGTTCTCCATTTCTTAGTCGTTGTAATTGAAGTTCATCAATATTTGAATTAAGTATTTCTGTTTCAACTTCTATAATAAACAATATCGTTTTGCTTTATGAATATAAAAAAAATCTATCTTTAATTTACGTCGAATTTCTTCATCTTTATCTAATCCATCATCACCTTGACCACCTATACCAACATAGACAAGAACATTAACAGCATCAGATACATCAATATGAAGATTAGTTGTGCCAGCTTTTCTTGTTGCTTGACTCGTTAGTTGACCTAATTTAATAAAATATTATACATAACGAAAAACTCAGGTAAAAGATATACGATATTTTTCATTCAAATTCAATACTACAACAGTGACAAGTTTAACACTATTCTGTTAGTTTTATATCCGAAATAATATCATAATACGTTTTTCAGATTTATTGAAAATTGAATTAAGAGAAATGCAAGAATAAAATCATCAAGTCTATAGAGAAATATGAATAAGATAAAATAATAATTTGATTTACTATAAGCAATATAAAGTTTTGGTCCAAGATCTGGTTTAACTGAACAAGCTGGTAAACGTTCCACAATATTAAAAGCTCCACCATGATATGTAACACCATTATACGTATACGATCGTCGTGTATAATCACCTGAATATCAAAATGAAAAGAATTCATAATTAAATAATTATTTTCAACTTACTAAATGGAATATTTGTCATAAGATCATGGAGACGTGTTGGAAAAACTGATGCAAAATCTTTTTTTGTTGGCCAATCTTTTAATTTAAGAATACGTACACGTCCACGATGTTCATTATCTCTCAAACGAACTATCGAAAATATTTTATCGATTATTTTTTAGGTTTTATAATTAATTAACTTACTATTTAAACGTTCAAATCCATCCCAAAAACGTGTTAAAATTGTTTCATTAGTTTGAATTGGTGTCAAAGTTTCACAATCCCATAATGCTGGTGTATCATGATGATCAAGCATATGTAATTTAAATGCATCTGGATGCCAAAGTGTTTTCGATAGATTATGATGAACTTGTTTAACAAGTACAGGACAACTAGCAGCCCAAACTCGTTGAAAAAACTTTTAAATAAGACGAAATAAAAAAATGAATTTTTCTTTTCAATTTTTCTACATACACGTTTAGCATTCTCGCTAGTCCATTCATTAAAAACTGGTAGACGTCCATTACAATAAAATTCGATGTTTGAATCATAATCACAATCGATTGCGGACCAAATTTTTTGTGTATTACGTATATCATGTATTCGTTTCATTTTTAAGCTTTTAATAAATATTGAATAATTTTCATTTTTCGATGTATGAAAAAATCTCGTTGAATGATCAATTTTCAACTTAGATAAATAATCTATACAATATTTACGTTGTTTTACTAATACTAAATATTAAAAAATAGAAAAATAAGATTTCAAATGAATAAAAATAAATTTTACTATTCCATGGAATAAATTCTGATAAACAATATGAATCAAGATGGTTACAGGTTCGTTTTAATTCTAAAATTAAATGTATATGTTGGATTTTGCTTGTGAAAAGTAAAATATATTTTACTTTTTCGTTTTTCAGTATTTGCTTGAAAAAATTCATCTGAACATTCAACACAAATCATATATCCACATATTTTACACATATAATGATAATTAAAAAGTGTTGTTAAACATTCATCACAAACTTCTCTCCAACCTGGTATACAACGTTTCCAAATAATTTCTTCTATGATAGATAAATAGAATAATAGTTAGTATATATATTTCTTTTAGAAAATTCAAAGAAAAATGTTAATTTACTGTCGTTTTGTATGGATTGTTGAGTTTCTTCATATGAAAATATTAAACAAAAAAGTTTAGCAATCTGAGTAAGAATATAATTTGAATTGTTTAAATTTAATGCTGGTTGTCCACCTAAATATAATCAAATAAAAAAGATTGTTATGTCTTTTTGTATTGTGACATCATTTGTTTATTTTACCAGAATTTGGAGTAATTATATGTGCAATATCTTCTGATTTTGCGCTTTTATCTGTTGTGAATCCTTCGCTTTCATATTTATCATCACCAAGATATTTTAATCTAAATAGATATAAACAATGATAATATCTATATTTTGTCTATAAGTTGCTTGAAATAGTATAAAGATCTAGATGACTAATTCTTTCATTTTAATATACAAAGATCGAACATTAAGTGATATATATCTATTCATAGTTGAAGTTCGAAAGTAAGAGATTATTCTGGTGTACATACGTCAGATAAGTATAGTGCACTAACTACAATAAGATGATATATCTAAACTATAGTAGAAGAGGAATAGCTAATGAAAAGTATTCTAACACACAATGTTGAAAACCGAAAATTATATTACGTTTTTTTTTTATCGACCCAGCACTTGCTGAACAAATAAGATTGTCTTCCAGGACGAAGTAAATGAAGGTTTTTAAGTTAATAATACTGTGCATACCTTTGTTCAAGGTTAATGCGATAATTTTCAAATAAAATATATTTTAGTCTACAAAATCATCATGACTTTTAGTTTTGACATATAAATATATGAGTTTTCATTCTATGTTTCAATTTAATCTTTTATGTCTATTGGATTATACGATTAAAGATTCTATTAAGTTCCTTATAAATTCAGATTTTCCTATTTCTACTTGACAAAATATCGTTGTCTTTGGAAATCTAATCTACTGATAATATCGATTTAAGAAAAAATTTACGTTCGACAATGTTGAAATCGACAACCCAAAAGATGTAATGGTGAATTTGATGAATTTATCATTTGACAATCAACACATCTTTGAACAGTGATTGGATATGATATACAATATTGTTTTTGAATAATACTTACTATTTAAATAAAAGTATAACCAGGATATTTAAAAAAAAAGAAGAATGGAAAATATTTACTTGGTATTGATCTTTGATAACGACGTTTAATTAAAATTTGTTCTGATGTAGACGATTCAAATAATCGTTTTTTATTATTACTATTCATTAATGTTAATGATGAATTTATAATTTGATGTTGATTCGATGATTCATTATTTATTGGTGAAATACTTCCATTAATATCTAATGATAGTAATGCCATTGGTTGTGATGATGATGATGATGAAGTTGTTGTATCAAAATTAGTATCAGTTGTATTTTGTTTCTGTTGTTGTGGACGTCGAGTATAAACAGGTGAACGACATGAACGTTGAGAAAATTTTGACTTTCTTTAAAAAATTATAAAACGAAAAATATAAGTATTTGTTTTCTTTGTATATTTGTTTGACCTTGATATTTCTAAGTTGAATCACCTTATTTTCCCATTTTTATGATAGACACGTTTTGCTTCAATACACTTTTGTCGAAAACAACATAATGAGAAAAGGACAACGACTCTCACGTGATATTAGGCAAAGTTTAATGAGTACAATATACTGCTCTCAAAAGATTTAACAAGATATTTAGATGAAAAATAGCTTCTAAAATCAATCTTTTCTCTTTCTCTGTACATACATAAAAAAGTACAATTCATAATACTCGTAATATGATACAAAATCCTATGCACGTATTTTTGATCTGATTACGTATCAAACATAAACAATAATATCGGTGAACTTATTTATTTACTAAGAAATTCAATACATACTTGTTGAGATTATTTTCTGATTGGAAAATTGTATTACTTGATAGTTTTAATTTTGCTTCCAATGAATGAATATATGAATGTCTTGGTCTATATTGTGGACTTTTATTATTTGGACTGTCATAAATATTAGTAGTATCAGGTTCAGTAGTATTACTTTGAATAGATTGTGTAGTATTAAATAAATGAGTTTTAATTTGTTTTGGTGAGGAAATTAATGCTCGATGAAGAACAGGTGATTTACGTAATTGTTCATTATTGATTCTGGAATGCTAAAAAATAATTTATAAATAATATAGTATGATTGAAGATAAAAAATAATTTTTATACCTTTGGACTAGTACCATTATCTTGAATTAATCCTAGATTCATAGAGCCCATCATCCAGTGACTTGGAGTTTGTTCAGTTTTACTAATAAAACCTGATAAAATATTTAAAATATGTAAGAGAAATCATTTTTAATGATTTTATTTACTTGAAAGTTCATAGTCTAATGTATTATCGTTATCGTTTAGATGAGGCATAGAAAGATCGTATCGTTTATTTGAGATTACTTTCGATAAATCATTGGATAGACATGAATCATATGGAGAATTTTGTTGAACAATATCTCTTGTTGAAGAATTTGAAGTAGATAATAATAGCCTTGAATGTTTATCATATGTTGGACTAAGTGGTACTGTTGCTGAAATGGAAGAATTATTTATGGATGTTATTAAATCTGATTTATTATTATTTGTTTCGTATCTGTTGTCTGTAGAATGCAATGATGGAACGAACATTCCATTTGAATGTATTGGTTGATCAATTTGTGAAATTAATGGTATTCGATTCGATAAATCTGATGAAGTTATAAATGTATCATATGTCGATGTATCTGAGCTTGATGGTGAAGTTTCCACAAGTCGTTGATATAAAGAATTAAATGCACATAAATCAATTAAGCTAGAATTTTGTTGTAATAAAGTCGATGCATTCGATGATGGTGATTCTATCGATTCAGATTTTAAATCAAGAAATGTATCAGTTGAATTTGAATGCAAATAAGTGACTAATTTATTTGGATTAATATATTGATTCATCTAGGAAAAAGACTATGCTAGAGTAATATTCTTCTAAATGTAAATGGAACGTACCTATCAAGTATATCTATAGTGTTGCGTTTGACATGTCATCGATCAACCGTTTAAAACTCAACACCATAACGTTATAAAAAAAAGAGGAAGAAGGTCTTGTCTACCTTTTTTCTCCTTTAAAATCGATCGAATGATAAGATATACTGGTTAAAACACCAATCAATAGAAAGTTGATATACGTGACATCTATTGACATAGAAACATAGGTATATTCAAATTTTTGTAATGCAAAACGAATCGAACAATTCGCAATAGTTTTATATGAAAAATAAATATTAGTAAATGTGTAACTAGGGGAATCGTGATATATGTTTCACATTCCTGCGTTTAGATATCGTCAGCGCAACATCATTTTGTTATTTCTTGTGATATAACACAAGAATAAAACGAAAATGCTTTTATACCTTTAATTGCTTAAACAGACAAACAATAAAAACGATCAATAGCTATATACTTTAATTCATAGAGAACGAGATATAAATAAATGTATGGGTGCGTAAGGGTTAGAATACATCAAGAAAAAGATTGAATGAATGAACGAAGAGAATTAAGCTATCGTCGTATGAAAAATATCTTCAATACAAATTATGGTACAGAGAATAGATCTCTTATTAAAAGTACTACATCACACACATGTGTTCGTATGCTTTTTGAATAGAAAGAGTTCGATTTAATTCTACTTTATGTATCAAACATAGAGTAAAATATAAAAATTTTGTTTTCATAAAAACTAAATACTTATTGATATTTATTAAGATACTAAAGATATTTTGAATCTTTCGTTACACATCGTATTAATTACTTATTAATTTGATGTGTTATAGATAAAAATGTAACTTACTTAAAAATATCGATACACATGAATATGATAGATAACTAAAGTATCATCTTGATCGACGTTTATATTCAAATTTTTCTATAGTATGATTTTATTTGATATATATTTTCGTCTTTATTTCAAGGTTCTATGATAATGGAATATCTTGTATTATTCGTTTTTATAGTTTTCTAATATGTGCATTAACTATAAAAAGATGTGTAGTATTGTCATGATATGTCATCAAGAACAGCTGTTGCAATTATTCTTTTGTTGTTGTACTTTTTTTCGTCGTTAATTTTCACAAAAATTCATAATCTAGTTTTTAACTAATTAAATGATATTTAGAAAATGATTATATCACTTACGAATCACTTGTAGAACAAATACTGATTTTACTACTAATGTCTGTATCTTGTGTGCTGTCTTACACAATATTGTCTACAAATTACGATGTAATGCCTAGTGTTTATCTTAGTTTGAAGTGAGTAATGGCGATTACAAACAAGAATTGAATGTGAATGAAGCAAAGTAGAAAAAAATGTCTGATGGTAATCAATGATTCAAAACTTGCATATAACTATTTAATATGATAGAACTATTAAATAAATGAAATCTTTTAATAAACAAATTATCATTTTGACATAATGTGAATGAAGTCTTCGGAGGAAAATAATTGTGGATACAAGATTTTACTGAGAAAAAAATATAAAATGTGTTAGACGTAGATGCTTGACATCTTTTCAACTCTATCTATCTGATTGTAATTTGTTTTTGTTTATTCGGTCGAGATATAATGCAAAATATTAAGCAACTCTATCGACACTACTGGTTTCATGTTATCATAGATATATTTATAGATACATAAAAACATGAGTTTAGCCTTATTTTATCATTGTTGCATTGAGATAACAAGAAAACAAGTATGAGTAAGATAATATTCGGTAGGTGTGTTTATAATAAGTAAAATTTCAAAGAAAGTTTACAATTTTTATGACTTTAGGCATATGGATAGCTTTCTTGATTATTTCAACATGTTCGTCAGTACCTTTACAGCCAATACGTAAATGTGATGCAGATTGTGATTATAATATTACTCAATTAATTCAAAGTAAAGGTTATCCATGTGAAGAACATAAAGTATTAACTAAAGATGGTTATATTCTTGGTGTTTTTCGAATTCCACATGGTCGCAATTCATCATCGATAGGTCGACCAGTTTTACTACAGCATGGTCTGCTCGATTCAGCTACAACATGGGTAATGAATTTTCCCGAGCAAAGTCTTGGCTATATACTTGCTGATGCTGGTTATGATGTATGGCTTGGTAATATGCGTGGAAATTATTATTCTCGTGCTCATGTTAAATATAATCCCGATCATGATGAAGAGTTCTGGGACTTTAGCTGGGATGATATGGCACGTGATGATCTTCCGTCAATGATTTATTATATTTTAAATGCAACAAAACATACACAAATTGCTTATGTTGGTCATTCACAAGGAACACTAATTGCATTTGCTGAATTTGGTCGTTTAAATAATATCGTACAAAATAATGTTAGTTTTTGGGCAGCATTAGCACCTGTTGCACAATTAGGACATATTAAATCACCTATAAAATATTTATCACCAACACCAATAGTAGATGATATTGCACGTCTCTGGTATTTATTATTTGGTCGAAATGAATTTCTTCCATCATCTTCTATGATACATTGGTTTGCAAAACATGCATGTACAGAAGCTATTATCGATCGAGAAGTTTGTGAAAATATTATATTTATTTTATGTGGTCCTGAAACAAATAACATGAATAGCACAAGGGTTCCAGTTTATACTGCTCATGAACCGGATGGTACGTCTGTAAAAAATATGATTCATTTTGCTCAAGGCGTTCAATCGAATTTATTTCAAGCTTATGATTATGGTTCACCAGAAAAAAATCAATTGCATTATAATCAATCAACACCACCAGAATACTCGGTTCGTCCAATGAAAATACCAACAGCAGTATTTTGGTCAGGTGAAGATTGGCTTGCTGATCCAGTTGATGTGTCCTACTTATTCGATAATATTCAAAATTTAGTTTATGAAAAATATATTCCAGATTATAACCATTTAGATTTCGTTTGGGCAATTACAGCTTATAAAGTTATGTATCCAGACTTAATTAATCAAATGCAAAAATATCATCCATCAAATTAACTGTCTTTTTTTGTGATTTTATTTTTTCTATAATATGATATGTACAAAAGAAAATATGATTAAAAAAATGTATATGATTATCATTTTACTGCAATCTTATTAGGTTCAGAATGATCATAGTTAAAGTTGTAATCGGCAATGCTATACTAGCCAACAAGTATATAAGAGAGAGAAAGGCTATATGTTTTTCAAGATACTGTTGATAAAATTTTCGGCATGCATAATTTCCTATATATAACTACAATTGAACTTTTTCATCAGTATATTTTAATATTTATTTAAAGATATTCTGTTCAGTTCATCAAAGTATAAATAAAGTTTAAATTTTACTCTTGTTTAAGCTTTTTATTTTTTCCACATAGAAAAGATTTACATACGAAAAAAAGCAAAAAAACTATGGTGATGGGCTACTATGACGACGTCGACGATGTTCACCTGGGAATGTTTTATTTCGATTATCATCAGTTGCAGCTTTTTGACGATGATAATGCCGTCCACTTTCAATAGTTACTGTCGCTAAACTTGTATCCATATCTTCGCCACATAATGCATCACTATCGGATATTGGTGTTCCTGAAAATGTCAATTTGAAAAAGAATGGCCATGATGATGCTAAAAATAAAATAAAAAAATTTAATCATTCATTTCCCTATGTATTTTTTGTTAAATATATACATTGATGAGGTATTGGATAATTATTTGCCAATATTAAACATTCACATGCATCTGTGATTGTTCGAAATTCAGCTAAACCTGTAACACCTTTAGGTTGAGTATTTCCTCGTCGATCATGTGTAGCTATGATTAGAAAAATAAATCATTTAGTTATTTTTCATATATATATATAGAAGTAACTCATACTAGCTGCATCTTTTCGTGTTAAAAAATTTTTCACTTTAATTGGTCGTTTTGCACCTAAATCTTCAAATAATCGAACAATATCAATTTCAGCCATATGTGGAGGTGTATTAAAATAATATAAAACATGTGATGGTGCAACAGGACGGTTTTTAACTGCTTGATCACTTGTTAAATATCGATTATTACGACTAGTATCATATTCCATATACGATGCATCACCATTTTCTAATGGAAATGGTCGATTTAATGGTTGTATTTCACTTTGACGTGAAGAACTTGAATAGAAATCATATTTTAAAATCAATATTCATATATATATATATGAAATAACTTACACAATAATAAATGTTTGACCAAAAATAAATGTTGAATTAAGACTTTTTAAATGTTGTTGAAGACTTTCACAACGACTCATTTGTACCATAGCTCCACCTTGTTTTGATTTTAAAAACTTAACCTAAAAAAATACATAATGAATTTAATAAATTTTTGAAGATTTCTATAACATACACGTAAAACATTTCCATAAATACAAAGAAAATTAAACAATCTATCACAATTCCAACGTGGTGATGAAAGACCTTCGACATTGAAAACAGAACTATCAGTTTTTATTGATGATGGTGGAGAGGGTTCACGAAATCGATCAGATTCAATTGGATACGGAAGAAATTGTCGTTGACGATCAAGTGATTCTAATTGTTGAACAAGAAACTGTGGATTTGTATCAAATAATGGTTGTTGTTGTTGTTGTTGCTGTTGTTGTGGAAAATTTCCTGGATTATCACGAGGAGATGATCGATCAAGTGGTGCTATCCGTTGATTTAAAAATCGATCCAAACCAGTTGCCAACGATGATGCAAATCTTGTATTCGACTAAAAACGAATAACTTTAAAAAATACAAATAAATATCTCTTTAAACATACTGAAAATGAATCATTATTCATCAAAGGAGGTTCTAAAATAAATTAAAAGAATGTATATATATACAAATCATTTAATCTTTTATACCGAAATGATCAGTTCGTGGTGGTGATGATAATAAAGTTCTACGGCGAGTATATCCTAGAAAGAAAAATATTGAATATATATATATGAAATTGTATATTATTTAAATTGAAAGAAGAAGAAAAAAGAAAAAATTTTGTACGTTGAAGATTAATTGATTAGCCACGATATGAACATCCTAAATAGAATAAAAATAAATATTATAAGTCTACATATACATGAAAATTTTTGAATAAATTCATGCTGTATTATGAATGGCATATTTTATCTGATATTATATTTATTATCAAATGAATAATAGAGTTATATAATTAGTATTGTTTTTTTAACGAAAAGCATCAAGAAATAATTTCTTTCATGCAATATGATATAATATTTATTTGAATATTCTATCAAATAGAAAAATTCGGAAGAAAAAAAGAATAAGATACTGGTATTTATCGAATTTGAAATAATATTTATAACGAAGATTTATAATTTATTAATTATCTTTATGAAAATAAAACTACATAATTCTTATTCTGTCTGTTTTTGTTTTAGTAAAATGTAAGATAAACATGCCGTATGATCAACATTTGATTGAATTATTGAAAAGATCTACTTTAATAAATCAGTATTATAGTTAAAAATTAACGAACCAATTTGAGCATAGAAATATGATTAATAAAAAATTTTCGAATAGAAAAGAAAAATTGAATTTTGTAAGTATATCAGTTTTGTGTATAATATAAATTTAGGAAATTATTTTTCATAATAGATTTATAATATTATCGACTATCTTCTTTTTTTGGTGAACCTCTATAACTACTCGAAATTATCTCTGTATAATAA